TTATATATTGAAAGTATATTGAAAAGTAAAGTTGGAGATGGAAAATCTATCATTTAGTCTACCGTTGAATCAACTGCGTTAAAATTTCATAAACAGCACATACGAAAAGTGCGCTTGCGCTTATTGGTACGTGGAAACAAAAATGAAAACGAGTATCATTTGATCCATCCAAAAGTTCATAAATGAATCGGCGCGCATGAGTAATCGCATTCGATGACCCTCCATGCAACTCGCAGAAACTTTTCTGCACTTCAATTTGCAATTTTTATAGCTGTTCGATCGATCGGTCACGCAAAGAATACATTGGAGCTTTTGTTTTGAGAGAATAAGATCTGTATCTATATACTGTAAAATATATACAAGAAGAAAATTTACATCTACATAATGTGCATACAATTTCGTGTAATTGTTATATTAAAAATTATAAAGATTAGGATTTGCACTTTTCTGGAGCAAATTATAATTCAAACAATCCAAACAAATTTAATTTTTAGGTGGAAATTGTTATATCCAACGTTCATTACAATTTCTTTCCGATAATGTATAATATTTAATATTTTTTTCTCACATGATCCAACTTCAATATTAAATTTCTATAAAATTAAATCTATCTGCATTAAAATATTTTTCAATATATTTTCCTATAGCATTACGTTTTTTCTTTTATTTTTAAAGCGTCGAAACCAAGAGCTACGATTGTTCCTATACGTAACAACAAAATTGTGGTAATTAAGCTGTCAGTAATTTTAATGGATTAATTTCAGAAATTTGCTTGGAATCTACACAGAAAAACAAGGATTATCTGTTAAATTCAATACGTCAAATACGTAATTTATAATATAAATTAAAATTCGGCAATTAATAGTGTTTTAAATCAACCGACATTATTTTCAATCTTACATACAAAATAATAATTCTTACATCTATATAAGATAAATAGAAATGTAGATGTCCGCAATCTATACAATTCTTCGCATTGTTGTCAAACGAAATACTTGTTCTGTCATAATCTCTGTTGTCAAACGTATGTGGTTCGTTTACAGAACATTGTTTCTGCAGAATCACACGTTTCACGAGATGAATAAATTAAAGTTTGCGAACTAATTTAAATGGACATCGACGGTGTGTAAAAATAAAAATCGCCGCGCGTACTCGTAAATTCGCGATGCATTTCAATTGCGAGTTTCAGTTACGCAGCGATTTGCAGTCACTATGAGAAGTTTCAGTAAACAAAATTATTTTATAAAATATTTCAACAAAACACTTGTCACAATGTTGTATCTGCACTATTTATTGAAACAATAAAAAAATTGTAATTGTATTTTAATATTAAAGATATAATTTTTTTATTACACAGCATTTATATTCAATATTATTTCCCGTACAAAAGCGCTATGGATGCAATGCATTTTATAAGTAAATAAAATGTATCTTTTAAACTTTCAAATACAACTGCATCGATTATTATATCTGCTAAACGCAATCTTTTGAGTTAGCTGAGTTTTTGTCTACTTTGTGATAAATTTCATTGTATCAAATATTACATTGTTATATTTAGATTATTTTTGTTGAGTTTTTTTTGTTATATTAACTAAAAATTACTTTTATACATTTATTATTATGTATGTTAGGTATCGTCTTAGTTCTTATCTTAGTAATTAAAATTTCTTTTGTTATCGTATCGTACATCGTTTCCTTCTAAGATTTTATTAATATGCATAAGCAATTCAAAGCAATAAATTTAGAAAATAATCGGATCACACGAAGGGAAATAGTTAGATGATTTAAATGTCAATCTGCAACGTCACGAATGTAGTGTCGAACTTATTCACGCGATAAAAGCTACACGGGCTTCTGAATATCAAGCAACTCTCTTTTCATCTGCATTCGTCTCACTGTGCGGTTAATTAACAAACGTGGATGTACGTGGAAGGCATTACCGTGCGTGTTCTCTGACTCATTAGCAACAAAGCGGAGCTTTAAACTTGTTTCTAGAACGATAAAGCACTGCAGCTTTGTAACTCTGATAACGAGCGTATGACTAATCATTCTCAAAATTGTCGCTCGACGCGTTCACTTTTATTCTCAATATCCAATTAATCGTACTCGCGTTTTGCATCAAATAATGAAATACACAATAGATAAGGGATTCTCCATGTAGACTGAATAATATTTAAAATACAAATATAAAGTACATCTCATATTTAAAGGGATATAAATAATTTCATGAAGTCTTTATTAAAACGATTAGTATTTTTTAAATTAATCTGAAAAGACGGAACATTTATAATTATATAAATCATTTAGATTTTGTTATTAAATAAAATAATACGCGTTGAAAATTCAAAATTTATAAAGGTTATAACCTTCATGTATCATTCTTTATATACGAAAATCGTGTTTCAAAAATTACACGAATTAAAACGAAGCTTTTATAAAAACGTGGCTCTACATTGTTTGTCACGTTGAATGACAAAGAATATAAAAAAATAATGTAGCTGTAACCTACAAGAGCAAGCACAAGGAAAAGAATTGTATATGCGAATCGTTAAATTTTTCATCTCGATTCTTGTACCACAACAACAAACTGCAGAGGAAATGCGCCATGCCATATACAACTGAATTAAATTCACATGAGCTCGGTGCCTTCCTCAAACTCAGCACAGTTCTAATTAAATACACCACTAATTTTACATACGTCAGACAATGGGAATATTGTCCTCGATGCATCTTGTAGCTCAATCTAATCGATCATCCATGAATTCATTACGTTTGTAGTTGCTCTCATCATCATCGCGCTTTGAAACTACTTCGAGAATGCAAGACTTACGGTATATTCAGCTCCACCAACAAAATTATGAAGATCGAAATCTCAGCGGGACTTAATTATGTTACGAGCGTATTAGTTAAATGAGTGAAAATAAATACAATAGAAACCGCATATTCGCATATTCTTTAATTTTTTAATCACTTTTTAATCATTTTTTAATCAATTATTTAAGAATTGTATTTTTTGAAAATTTATAAATATCAAATTCAATACATTTTCAAAATTAGCAAAAAGTTTAAAAAAGATAATGGACAAAACGATTTCTAAAATATCTGTAAATGATTCTTTCTATTTATATCGGATTTTCTTGCTTTTTTCTAGAAAAAAATATCAACGTCGTTTTTCGAATATAATGTATCAAAATTTTATCTTTTATCATATATATTTGATCATATATATAGTTTAACTATTTCTGCACTTGTTTCTATCCTGTTCTTGGCACTGGATTACAACAGCGAATAAAACAAAAAAAATACGTTTCTCATTTTTAAATGTGTTTTTCCTTGTTATATATTTTTTTTCTTCATCTAAAGCCTTAATCTTCCTATGTATTTCTTTCTTTCATATTCACGATTTCCATATTCGCTGCAATTTTATAGAATATAAATTCCATGAATGTGAAGCTTGCATTATACTTTCTGTCTCAAACGTCTACGGCAACACACGTAAGAGTTTATCAAGGAAATTATATTTTAACTGACAGAAAATCTTGTAACACATCGTTATATACACATTAGTACCTTAATTAGGCCAACCGTATGGAAAATACGTTTTATATATTACGAATGTAACAAGGTTGAGATGCAAAGATACATTTATAACTTTACATTGTGGTACTAAAATGTGATAAGGAATGCAACTAATATGTAACGTAACTATATATGTAAATAAAGTAAAAAAAAAGAAAAAAAAAGAAATAAGCTTAATGGTAAAAATGAAGTTGTTCGTTTTTCATAAAGTGTTAAATATTAGTTCTATTCGTAGTTTTAAGATTATTAAAATTCTTAAGAAATTAGTTTTGTAAGAAAAGTTAGTTTTGTAAAAATGCAATGTATGATCTCGTCCAAGGATCAAAGGAGGATAAGAATGTGAAAGGGGGAAGAGTAAAGCATGCCACGCTTGTTCTTATCTCGTCTAGTGGCTAATGCAACGAAATAATGAATCAGGGGATTATCTACGCTCGTAGGGCGTGCCACGTGAGGGCTGCGAGTTTTCAGCATTATCATCGTCTCAGATATTCCACCTTCCCCTCCTCGCGACTGGCACACCTGAGTGCCTATCCGATAATTCGATCGTTCGATAATTCGAGTATCATTGTCGTGGTTATCACGATGCGTATCGCAATATATTAAAGACGACGCTCGTTGACGCGGGTAATGTGAGGGAAGTAAGAATTATGCTCGTGACACTTTGTCAACATATTACATAGAGTGGATAGCACTGTCGCTTATGAAGTCGGAATTAATTAGTAATTTAATTTAGCATGTAACGTTATCTATTTGTGCCGTTGTTAAGAGGCACGAAGAAATACACATAGGGATTGGAATATAAAAAAGAGTACATTTTATCTAAAAATATGTATCACTCTAACAATATTCGTTCCATTGCCTATCGTAGTCATATTATTCCCGTCATATAATATGTAATTCAATGTAATGTTCAATTTATATCATAATTTATGTTGTATGCTTTAGATTTGTATTATAAGCTGGATACTTATGTATACACTTATCACACGTTTATATAAATATAAATAAATTAGATACTACAGAGCTTTTATACTAATCTCATTCTAGCAAAATATTGAAAATTAAATTGTAATTTCATAAATTCATAATTTAAAAAAAATAAATTAAACTGATTTTATTATTTCAAGCTACTTCAAACAGAGTAAATAAAAAATTACAGCTTATTAATTTAATAATCTAAAATAATATAAAATATAATTATGTACACATGTCCTTTTTAATTTTGCATACATATGAAATTATAATTTATCCCTCATTAAATTGATTTTTCTTTCTGTCACTCACAAGATTACTGTTTTGACGTCTACATCATTTTACGTTTTCCAATCTACAACCATTGACTTTTGCGATATTCGATATCTATATTCTCTTGCGACAGTCTCTCTACGTTTTATAATTTCCCTCAAAGTAAATTGACTTACCGGTGTGGTATACGGTTGACAGGCCAGTCTGATGCCGTCGTGTCTCAGCTTCTCCTGCAGCAGCATCCTCAGTTGCATCCTGGGAATTCTCACCAGCTCGGCCTTGCCCTCCTCATACTCGTCCGCGAACTTGGTCAGCTCCTGACCGCCGCTGGAGGAGCTGGCCGTGGGCGACGCTCGCTGCGCCTCCTTGTCGCTGGGTGGCCTGTCGGATGACGTCCTCGAAGACTTGGAGCTGACGTTGTCACAGTTATTGTCATTCGTTTCCTCCAGCGTAAAATATACACTCGCGGCGCCTTCCTCGCGTAGGGTCTTGACCGATTGCAACAGACGCGCGCGATGTTTCTGATTGAAGACGCCGATCGCGTCGAGATCTGGATCGCCAATCTGCTTGCAGATCTCAAGGTCATCATAGCCGTTGTCGATGAACGACTCCGAGTATTGACCGAGGTGAAGCGACCGCAGCCACTCGACCACAATGTTGCTCGCCATGGTCATCTTGGCGCTCTCACGTTGTTCGCGCGTGGGCTCCGACTACGCCCCCGCTCGTTCACGTCTTTTTAAAACCGTCCTTTTCCCCGTGCCGCTCCTCGTTGCTCCTCAACGATCCCACTTCCGGCACGAATTTCGTTTTATTATCCGCTGTATTCGTCGGCGGCTACTATCATCCCACGAGGCCGCCCTCCAGACGACGATGGCGTAACGTCCATTGAGGCGCGCGAGGATTGTCGAACGCGTAGATTCGGTCGATTCAGCAAGTAAGTCGGAGGCCCAGTCCTCTTCTAACGTGACATACTCCTCCCACAATTGGCTGTGATATTAACGAGGATCGTCTTTGCCGGCCTGGGACACGCGGGGCGTCAGCGAGGAAGGGAAGTAGTTTGCGACCGGTCACGTTCGCCGCTTGACATGTACCGCTCTTCGGCTCATCGCGAGATGTGCGGGGGATGACAGAAAGAGAGAGCCGCTATTCTCTTCTTTTCTCACTCCGCTCTCTCTTTTCCCGTCCGTTTCCGAGCGTTGGTTCTTGCGAAAAGACGCAAAAGCGGAGTGTGGTACTGCAAAGAGCCGGTAGGCAAAGCAACGGTCGGGTTCCGTTTTATCTAACGCAAGAAACACAGACGGGGAAAAATTCGGGAACAATTTTCGGGAGGTATCACACACACGAGAGTCAGTTCTTTCCCGGCGTACGACAGCAGCCCCGAGCGTTAAATCCCGTCTCGTTCTGCTCCTTTTACTCCTCTCTGTCAAGCGTCTGTCTGGCGACAGAACTCAGCACGCTGCTACTTGACGCAGTTCTTTCGCTGCGAGCAACCGGTTATTAAACGCACACGAGAAGGACGAACCGCCGATTCGAATGGAATCGCCAGAATTACGCCGCCGTGACTCGCTTGCTCGCTCGCTCGCTCGCTCACACGCGCGCGCGCGCGCGCCCGTAAAAGATTATCAGCTGATCGCGTTGGAATCGCGCGATCGACGATCGAAATGAAAAATGGGATGGGCTACTTCTGTGCCGCGCACCCTCGTCGTGACAAAATGAGACAAACCGACAAGACTCGTGAGGATTCGATGGGAGATAAATTCGGGTGATTCACGCCTGTCGCCGAAGACTCGCGAAGTCCGCGTGCGAGCTTCGGTAAAATTCGTAGAATCCGAAGTTCTTCCTCAGTGGAAGACAAACATAGATCAACGTGAGATCGACGTCGCGATCTTGATGAAGACGGACGACATGGACGGGTCCTTATTCCGTTGAGAGCACGAGACTTGGCAACGTCGGCGGGGCGTTCGGACCCCTCCGTTCGTTTCCTCCTGCAACGACTTTAAAACTCGCGCCACCGTGTGTCACTTAAAGCTCCATTCACGCGGTAGATCGACGAGCCGTCCGCTTCGGGGATACTCTCCGAATGTACGTACACTAAACGACGTGAACAGAAAGAGGGAAACCAAACTTGTGCGATCGCTCACCGATAATTTCTTCGGAAGTGCGGCCTCTTCTTCATAGAACCTCGTGCAGTCACTCGCGACGGTCACGGTTGGCTATTCCACGCGTTGAAGTTTCCCGCACAGACACACGAACGAATTCGAACGGGAAAACGATCGTCCGGTGTCGAACGCGCTCGATCGTAAGATTTCGAAGAACCGAAAAAAACCCGGCACGGCAACGAACGACGAGGGTCCGTTGGTATCCCTGATACGCGCGGCTTCCCCGACCGGCTCGCGCGTAAATCGAGAGAAACGACGACGATGATGACGATTGCGGGGTGAACGTGCCCGGTGATCTTCGCGATGAGCGCGTATCGCTCATAGTCAGAACGAGGAAGACGTCATCGTCGCTGCTCGACGAAACACGCGATGCGATACCACTACAGCACGACACTATCGCGACGCGGCACACGGCTCGACTGACACGAGACATCCACCAGAGGGAGCCCCCACTCGTCTACTCTTCACGAACTGCCTCCCCTCTCCGCGCTACCCCCGCCGCCGTCGCCGTTGCCGTTGCGTCTCGTTCTCTCCCCACTCGCGAGACTTCTTCACCCCCACTCTTCGACGAAACACAACGTGCGATTTCAGCCGGCGAGCGGCGAGAGCGCCGGCGACTACGTCAGGATGCAACAGCCGTCGGGATGGATTGGTCTCGTTGCGATAATGAAATTTTGTGAAACTTGACCGTTGTTGGATCTTTCGGCAAAATTGGAACATTTTGAAATTTTGGTGAAATATTTTTTTCAGGCTTCTCTCTTGAAACCCTGTGAATGGAAAGGTCTCACGCTTGCCTACTAAAAATTCTATCGCATTCTCTCAGGATTCTGTTCTAAGCCCGCTTTAGACGATAAATATAAATATAAATTCGCATCAGATTTTTCGAGATGGAATTCTATTCATTATTTTATATAATGTGTTTTTATATGTGTAAATATATATATATATATATATATATATATATATTTACACATAAATAATATATATAAATAATATATAATAATATATATAAATAATATATAATAATATATATATATTTACATATAAAAATATATTATATATAAAATAATGAATAGAATTCCATCTCGAAAAATCTGATTATATATATATCTTGTACAGATATTTTGAATCTTTAAATGTTTTCCATGGTATCTTATATTATGAATAAAATTTTATCACGAAAGTAGACAAAGTTTAAAGTTTTATATTTAATAATAATGTTATAGTCGTATTGATATTTAGAAAAGATATTTTAAAAGGGAAAAAATAGTAATAATTTTAAGAAAGAGAAAAATAATATTTTAATGAAATTTCTTTATAGCTTTTTTTAAATCTTTTGAATAGTTCAATTAGTGATATTTTAATTACAAAATTCCTTTACTACATTATGTTTTGTTTACACGATATTAATATTCTCTACCTTGATGTAAATTGACTGAATTGAAGTATTACTTTAGAATTTGATTAAAATTTTTTGCATATCGTATTTCTTTATGCAGATTTCGACTTTGACTTCCGCGCAGAGAATCAAATGAAGGAATAGATTTTAATATAGACAGCGGCGAAATCCGCTTATCGCTATCGGTTTTCGTATTAAAACGGCAACGGTTTCTTGAATTCACGCGAAAGATGTGAAAGGGAGAGAAGCGGAAAAGTACACTTTGGCTTCTCTGTAACGTCCGCGTTACGTGAACGTTTCGAAAACACTGTTGCTGAACGAGAGTTAGTTCGATGATTATCTGTGACAATCGTAATCAATTTCTTTGTCAGAACTGCGGCATTTATAAATGAACGCCTAACGGCAATGGTACAAGGCCTGTGACCCACGAGACCAATAATCTGCAACGTGCTGCCAGTCAAACGGCTGGCACGTTCATTTCTCTATGTGCTATTATAGCACGCTCGAATGAAATTGGACTGCATCGAGTGGTGAATGCGATAGGAACGGCAATAATCCAAGGGTCATTTCTTTCCTTCTTCCAAGCAAAAATCGAATATCCTTCAAAGGGCGATTTCCTTTGGAAACAACGATACGTAAGATTATAGGTTACACAATTGTATATTGGATAACGAAATCGAAACTGAATGGTAAAGTAATTATTTATCAATGATCATGTGTGATCTTCTAGAAATAAGTAAAAATAAATTATAATTTTCATACAAACTTTGTCGAATTTGAAAGTAATGTTTTTTCTATTTACAATAAAATTTTGCTCTTGGAATTTTTTGATTAATTGTTAAAGTAGAAAATAAAAAAACGTTTGTTAATAATTTTGTGATTACCATTCTGATGATTTATTTTGTTAAATATATACAATTAAGACTAAAACAATTTTAACATTGTTTGTTGTTATGTGTAAACTGTACTATGTAAAATATACATTCATAACTTTTATCGCAGCATGGTATTTAACAAGGTTTTTTTATTACGCACATTTGTTTATTAATTAAAAATACAATACAATACTCCATGTTTTTAATTATCCATGATAAAATACCTGCCGCATTCGCGTTTTGAGAAATACGAACACGAAACCGATGGCGAGCACTACTCTCAGGAAATCTCTATTAAATGACAATGCTAGTCGTGCAGAGCTTGCGAACGATGATCGCCGATATATGCGTGAGGTTCGAATTAATTGAATGATCGGCATGGACGTACCCGTCCTGCTATGACGGCAAAGCAGGGAGTGACAAGTAGCTCTCAATAACGTGATATGACATCGCGTGTCGTGGACAGGAAGGACCCTTTCAATGCAACCCTCGCTATTTCCTCGCTTTGGTCGAGTAATTTGCTTTCGAAGCAGAGGGATGAGATCGGAAGACGGGTCACCTGTCAATATATTAACTCGTTTCCGCAATACTGCGAATTATTATAAAACGGCGAGATATAAAATCTCCATCGTTCACCGACTGTTTCAGACTGTGCCAAACATTTATAAACGTACAACAAATTCCAAAGGTATCCGGATATTCCTGATTATACAGGATATAAATAATGTTATCAAGGTCTCTTTGAAATCGTTATTGATGTCAAATGGCACGATGAGCTCCATTAAAATATTCTACGTCAACGAAATTTCGCGCGGTCGCACGATGTGTGGACTCGGATACATTATCATAATACACAAATATTTTAATAACATGTCGGATAGTATAATCACACGTACATGTTGGCGAGAATATTTTTGGGGAAAATTAAAACACTGTGACAGCCAGTATGACATATCGGATAAAGCAAGAGAGACAGAGGTAGAAAGAGAGAGAGAGAGAGAGAGAGAGAGAGAGAGAGAGAGAGAGATTGA